GAAGCTCAACAGAAGATGGGTGATAGAACAGGACAACGACCCAAAGCACAGAAGTAAATCAACAACAGAATGGCTTCAACAGAAAATACGCCTTCTGGAGTGGCCCAGTCAGAGTCCTGACCTCAACCCAATTGAGATGCTGTGGCTTGACCTCAAGAGAGCGATTCACACCAGACATCCCAAGAATATTGCTGAACTGAAACAGTTGTGTAAAGAGGAATGGTCCAAACTTCCTCCTGACCGTTGTGCAGGTCTGATTAGCAACTATAGGAAACGTTTGGTTGAGGTTATTGCTGCCAAAGGAGGGGCAACCAGTTATTAAATCCAAGGGTTCACATATCCAATATTTGGCTGCTGCGCCAAGGTCTCTAAATCATGGAAGAGAACCGGGTAGAACTCTTCACAGGGTTCATTAAAATCGAGATAACGTGATTGTCCGAGTCTTCTAGGTGACACATGAATTTGTACATTAACTTTCTTAAAAGGGCTTGACAGGTAGGAACCCCCAAGATAACAAACAGCTGGCTGGCACTGTGCCGTCTCGGTACCCTCAGCAGCAGTTACTCCACAGGTGAGCTGTGTAGTTACTCCACAGGTGAGCCGTGTAGTTACTCCACAGGTGAGCCTTGTAGTTACTCCACAGGTGAGCCTTGTAGTTACTCCACAGGTGAGCCTTGTAGTTACTCCACAGGTGAGCCTTGTAGTTACTCCACAGGTGAGCCTTGTAGTTACTCCACAGGTGAGCCTTGTAGTTACTCCACAGGTGAGCCTTGTAGTTACTCCACAGGTGAGCCTTGTAGTTACTCCACAGGTGAGCCGTGTAGTTACTCCACAGGTGAGCCGTGTAGTACTCCACAGGTGAGCCGTGTAGTTACTCCACAGGTGAGCCGTGTAGTTACTCCACAGGTGAGCCTTGTAGTTACTCCACAGGTGAGCCGTGTAGTTACTCCACAGGTGAGCCGTGTAGTTACTCCACAGGTGAGCCTTGTAGTTACTCCACAGGTGAGCCGTTGTAGTTCTCCACAGGTGAGCCGTGTAGTTTACTCCACAGATGAGCCGTTGTAGTTACTCCACAGGTGAGCCTTGTAGTTACTCCAGGTGAGCCGTGTAGTTACTCCACAGGTGAGCCGTGGAGTTACTCCACAGGTGAGCCTTGTAGTTACTCCACAGGTGAGCCTTGTAGTTACTCACAGGTGAGCCTTGTAGTTACTCACAGGTGAGCCGTGTAGTTACTCCACTCCCACGGTGAGCCGTGTAGTTACTCCACAGGTAGCCATGTAGTTACTCCACAGGTGAGCCTTGTAGTTACTCCACAGGTGAGCCTGTAGTTACTCCACAGGTGAGCCTTGTAGTTACTCCACAGGTGAGCCTGTAGTTACTCCACAGGTGAGCCTGTAGTTACTCCACAGGTGAGCCTTGTAGTTACTCCACAGGTGAGCCTTGTAGTTACTCCACAGGTGAGCCTTGTAGTTACTCCCTAGGTGAGCCTTGTAGTTACTCCACAGGTGAGCCTTGTAGTTACTCCACAGGTGGAGCCTTGTAGTTACTCCACAGGTGAGCCTTGTAGTTACTCCACAGGTGAGCCTTGTAGTTACTCCACAGGTGAGCCGTGTAGTTACTCCACAGGTGAGCCTTGTAGTTACTCCACAGGTGAGCCTTGTAGTTACTCCACAGGTGAGCCTTGTAGTTACTCCACAGGTGAGCCGTGTAGTTACTCCACAGGTGAGCCTTGTAGTTACTCCACAGGTGAGCCTTGTAGTTACTCCACAGGTGAGCCTTGTAGTTACTCCACAGGTGAGCCTTGTAGTTACTCCACAGGTGAGCCTTGTAGTTACTCCACAGGTGAGCCGTGTAGTTACTCCACAGGTGAGCCGTGTAGTTACTCCACAGGTGAGCCTTGTAGTTACTCCACAGGTGAGCCTTGTAGTTACTCCACAGGTGAGCCGTGTAGTTGTAGTTACTCCACAGGTGAGCCTTGTAGTTACTCCACAGGTGAGCCGTGTAGTTACTCCACAGGTGAGCCTGTAGTTACTCCACAGGTGAGCCTGTAGTTACTCCACAGGTGAGCCTTGTAGTTACTCCACAGGTGAGCCTTGTAGTTACTCCACAGGTGAGCCTTGTAGTTACTCCACAGGTGAGCCGTGTAGTTACTCCACAGGTGAGCCGTGTAGTTACTCCACAGGTGAGCCTTGTAGTTACTCCACTGAGCTCCACAGGTGAGCCTTGTAGTTACTCCACAGGTGAGCCTTGTAGTTACTCCACAGGTGAGCCTTGTAGTTACTCCACAGGTGAGCCTTGTAGTTACTCCACAGGTGAGCCGTGTAGTTACTCCACAGGTGAGCCGTGTAGTTACTCCACAGGTGAGCCGTGTAGTTACTCCACAGGTGAGCCGTGTAGTTACTCCACAGGTGAGCCTTGTAGTTACTCCACAGGTGAGCCGTGTAGTTACTCCACAGGTGAGCCGTGTAGTTACTCCACAGGTGAGCCTAAGGGAGCTTACTCCACAGGTGAGCCGTGTAGTTACTCCACAGGTGAGCCGTGTAGTTACTCCACAGGTGAGCCGTGTAGTTACTCCACAGGTGAGCCGTGTAGTTACTCCACAGGTGAGCCGTGTGCAATGGTGTACAGAAAGCTTTAAAAAGCGATACCTTGACATCTACAGAGCACTTGTGAAACTTACGCATTAATATGTTTGCCTGCATACAGTTTGCAGCGCTGTCTATGGATGTCTTTGTCATCTGTGAGATCATCAGAGATATAATGACCAAGGTACTTGATCTCACTGCACACAAGAAGAATGTTGCTACTGAGAATACAATTAGGAAATACAGCCTTTTTATCCTCTTTACTTCGCACAATCATGATGCTACTCTTCTTGGCGTTATACTTAATATTAAAATCAATGCCAGACTGGGTACAAGTCCTCAGAAGCTGTTGTAAGCCAGCACTGCATGGGGAGAAGATGATTAAATCATCTGCGTACACAAGGTGGTTGACAACAGTAGCTCCGATGACACAGCCAGTTTCACACAAGTTCAGTTTCCTCGACAGATCGTCCAGCTACAGATTAAACAACACAGGAGATCAAATCCCACCTTGCTTCACCCCATTACCAACATCAACATGTTCAGACACAGTATGGCCCCACTTCACCTGCATAGTCTGATGTGCATACCAAAAGGCTAAGATCCTTATTATGTACTTGGGTACCCCTCTCTGGCACATTTCAAATGCCTTGGAAGCATCAATAAAACACAGAAACATGGTGGAATTATGGCTTCTATATTTTGCTATAATGTCTTTTAAAGCAAAAATACACATATCTGTGCCGTGTTTTCTTTTAAAACCGAACTGGTTGTCAGCTGTGGTAATATACCTTTTTCCACCCTGCACTGTGAATGTTTACATGGTGTGTTCAATAAAAAAATGAAAACATATCATTGTTTGTATGGTTTTAGCTTAAGCAGACTGTGTTTGTCTATTGTTGTGACTTAGATGAAGATCAGAACACATTTTATGACCAACTTATGCAGAAATCCAGGTCATTCCAAAGGGTTCACATACTTTTTCTTGTAACTATACTGTATATGGGGGAGTGTCATTGCTTCCGGGGTGTGAGACTGGACATGTCCAGACTTGCCTCAGATGGTAAGCCTAAACAAATCTAGGGGCTCCAGTACTTTTCCATTGAGTCAGGGGCCTCCTGTGTACAACCTGCTGTGAGTGAAGATAGTGATAAACTGTTGGGAAAATACTGAAAGTCCTCTTCCAACCTGAGAGTAACATGATAACAAAGGTATCCCAACCGTAGCTGTGTACATGACAGGATGTGTGATTACCTAGAAGAGCATCAGGACTGTTTGAGGCATATGATAGTTATGTGATTAACATGATGATTCAGCCTCTATGGAGAGAGACATCAAGCATGCTCATTTCTGACGTGGAGCTAATCTGAACAAAATATTGAATACTGCTTTGAACCGGTATTTCTGCATCTTGTCACTGTAACACCCTCTCTTGTATTCAAGGCATGTGAAGGACACTGTTCTGGGAACTATTTGTCCCATGCAACCTCTGTGTGTGATGACTACTTCCATTCTTGCAAGGATAATAAATACATGTATCCTGATATTGAAGACCAAGCCGATGACGAGGGATATTTTCCTAACATAAACTATAACAGACCTTACTCCCTCTATCAATTTTCCCAACCGTTTACATTTTGTATATACTGTGAGTATAGAACAACGTGAAAAATAATGGATTTTTCATTGTGGGTTATACAAAATTACATTTGATGATATTAACCTTTGTTTAAATTATTTAACTCAATCTGGAAACCTCAACAGTGTCTTGACCTCTTGAAGTCTTTGGGTGGGCTCTCTGGGTCAGGGCACCAGCTGGGGCAACATAGACAATCTGGAAGACTGTAGGTTATTGGTACGCTCTAAATATCAGAGTTTTCTGAGATTGCTCATGCAGAAGTGTTCATACATTCAGACGGACCAAAGTAGATTCCATTCAAGTCCTTAACAAGGGCCCAGTGGTTACATTTGCAAGGAGGTGTCAGTGAAGTTTGTCCAACCACCTGTTTTCTGGAAGGAAGCGAAGTCTTTTTACTCTGTGTGGATGTTAGGCTACTATGTTACTATGCTGTAGTAAAGCCATCCAATACTTTAATAACTGGAATCAAAGCTTTGTTTATACATCCTCAGTAGGGGTTGGGCTCTACCAGGGTTATACCTCAGCTCCAAGCAGCAGAATAAGAGTCAGTTAGGTTGAGGTCCATGGTTCTCCACTGTTAATCAGAATACTCTCTCAGCGTTGGATATTAATTGTTGTCAAGGACAATATGTTTGGCTTGCTACATATGATTATGCAACAACATACAGGGTCTTGATCGTTGACAAATAATCTACTATTGTGTCAAATTAGGAGAACGTATTTAGTTATTTGTAGTATCTCCTCTAATTGTCAATTTTCCTTTTTGCTTCATTCAGAGATTGTTTCTGAGTGCCAAGATAAACTCAAATCAAGCCTGAAGAAAACGTTTGAATTTATTTCTGAGAAAATCACAAAAAAAGGAAATGTAAAACCCCTGCATGAAATTTACACCGAGATCTACATCACAGAGGGGGGGTCTGCAGAGGTCAACAAGGAACATGAGGTCAGACAGATTGAAACAGAATCCAGGAAACCACACAGACCAGAAACAACCATCAGACAAGAAGACCTCTTTAAAGCCTCACCTGGAAGAGATGCACCAATCAGAGCAGTGCTGACAAAGGGCGTGGCTGGCATTGGGAAAACAGTCTTAACACAGAAGTTCACTCTGGACTGGGCTGAAGGCAAAGCCAACCAGGACATCCAGTTCATATTTCCATTCACCTTCAGAGAGCTGAACGTGGTGAGAGAGAACAAGTACAGCTTGGTGGAACTTGTTCATCACTTCTTCTCTGAAACCAGAGACGCAGGAATCTGCAGGTTTGATCAGTTCCCGGTCGTGTTCATCTTTGACGGTCTGGATGAGTGTCGACTTCCTCTGGACTTCCTCAACACTGAGATCCTGACTGATGTCACAAAGTCCACCTCAGTGGATGTGCTGCTGACAAACCTCATCAGGGGGAAGCTGCTTCCCTCTGCTCGCCTCTGGATAACCACACGACCTGCAGCAGCCAATCAGATCCCTCCTGAGTGTGTGGACATGGTGACAGAGGTCCGAGGGTTCACTGACCCACAGAAGAAGGAGTACTTCAGGAAGAGATTCAGAGATCAGGAGCAGGCCGGCACCATCATCTCCCACATCAAGACCTCACGAAGCCTCCACATCATGTGCCACATCCCAGTCTTCTGCTGGATCTCTGCTTCAGTTCTGGAGGAGGTGTTGAAAACCAGAGAGGGGGGAGAGCTGCCCAAGACCCTGACTGAGATGTACATCCACTTCCTGGTGGTTCAGTCCAAAGTCAAGAACATCAAGTATGATGGAGGAGCTGAGACAGATCCACACTGGAGTCCAAAGAGCAGGAAGATGATGGAGGCTCTGGGGAAACTGGCTTTTGAGCAGCTGCAGAAAGGCAACCTGATCTTCTATGAGTCCGACCTGACAGAGTGTGGCATCGATATCAGAGCAGCCTCAGTGTACTCAGGAGTGTTCACACAGGTCTTTAGAGAGGAGAGAGGACTGTACCAGGACAAGATGTTCTGCTTCGTCCATCTGAGCGTTCAGGAGTTTCTGGCTGCTCTTCATGTCCATCTGACCTTCATCAACTCTGGAGTCAACCTGCTGGCAGAAGAACCAACAACCTCCCAGCAGTATGAGGTCAAACCTGAACTAACACATCTCTACCAGAGTGCTGTGGACCAGGCCTTACAGAGTCCAAACGGACACCTGGACTTGTTCCTCCGCTTCCTCCTGGGTCTTTCACTGCAGGCCAATCAGGAACTCCTACGAGGCCTGCTCACACAGTCAGGAAGTGAATCTCAGACTGAAGAGAAAACAGTCCAGTACATCAAGAAGAAGATTGATGAAGATCTGTCTGCAGAGAGAAGCATCAACCTGTTCCACTGTCTGAATGAACTGAATGATCGTTCTCTGGTGGAGCAGATCCAACGGTACCTGAGTTCAGAAAGTTTCACCACAGAGGAACTGTCTCCTGCTCAGTGGTCAGCTCTGGTCTTCATCTTACTGTCATCAGAAGAAGATCTGGACGTGTTTGACCTGAAGAAATACTCTGCCTCAGAGGAGGTTCTTCTGAGGCTGCTGCCAGTGGTCAAAGCCTCCAACAAAGCTCTGTACGTGAACACATAACTATCCAGATTGAATGTATTTCTTAATTATTCACAAAATTATGAAAGTGTATCATTGATTTTTTCTGTATGACTGATTCCTCTCCAGACTGAGTGGCTGTGACCTGTCAGAGAGAAGCTGTGCAGCTCTGTCCTCAGTCCTCAGCTCCCAGTCCTCTAGTCTGAGAGAGCTGGACCTGAGTAACAACGACCTGCAGGATTCAGGAGTGAAGCTGCTGTCTGCTGGACTGGAGAGTCCACACTGTGAACTGGAGACCCTCAGGTTGGTGTAAAGCTGTTTAAAAATGTTGACCATCTGAACATCTGATTACTTCATATATTAACTATTGGATGGACCTTTTATTGAATTATTTGAGTGGTTGATTGTCAGAGAGAAGCTGTGAAGCTCATTCCTCAGCTCCTGGTCCTCTAGTCTAGAGTTGATCATCAATATTGAGTCAAAGATGTTCTGCTACGAAAGCCGGTGATGATCCAACTTATCAACCAAATCCCAGTAAAAAATGATACTCAGTCAAAAATGCTGGCAGTTCCTACCTTTCACCTTCACAATGATACAATCACCAATGGAGGGATAATTCTCTAATGTGTGTGTGTGTGTGTGTGTGTGTGTGTGTGTGTGTGTGTGTGTGTGTGTGTGTGTGTGTGTGTGTGTGTGTGTGTGTGTGTGTGTGTGTGTGTGTGTGCAGTCTGTCAGGCTGTCTGGTCACAGAGGAAGGCTGTGTTTCTCTGGCTTCAGCTCTGAGCTCCAACCCCTCCTCCCATCTGAGAGAGCTGGACCTGAGCTACAATCATCCAGGAGACTCAGGGGAGAAGCTGCTGTCTCCTGGACGTGAAGATCCACTCTGGAGACTGGAGACACTCAGGTACAGACAGACAGACAGACAGACAGAGAGAGAGAGAGAGAGAGAGAGAGAGAAGAGAGAGAGAGAGAGAGAGAGAGAGAGAGAGAGAGAAGTAGATAGAAGAGAGAGAGTGATAGAGCAGAGGAGAGAGAGACAGAGAGACAAGACAGACAGAACAACGAACAGACAGACAGACAGACAGAAGACAGACAGAACAGAGAGACAGAGCAGGAACAGAGAGAGACATACCAGAGAGATGAGAGAGAAGAGAGATAGAGAGAGAGATAGAGAGAAGAGAGAGAGAGATACATAGACAGACGCCAGCACAAGACAGCAGACCAGACGACAGACAAACAAGAGAGACAGACAGAGAGACAGACATAACAGGAACAAGACAGAGACAGACAAGAACAGAACAGACAAGGACAGACAGACCAGAGAGACAGCAGACAGACAGACAACAGACAGACAGACAGACAGACATAGATAGAGACAAAGACAGAACAGAGAGAGACAGACAGAGAGAGGAGAGGGAGAGACAGACAGAGAGGAGGGAGAGACAGACAGACAGAGAGGAGAAGATAGAGAAGAGAGAGAGAGAGAGAGAGAGACAGACAGACGACACAGAACAGAAAAGAGACAGACAGACCAGACAGAGAGACAGACAGACAGACAGACAGACAGTACAGACAGACAGACAGACAGACAGACAGACAGACAGACAGCCGAAGACGGACAGACAGACTAGACAGACAGACAGACAGACAGACAGACAGACAGACAGACAGACAGACAGACAGACAGACAGACAGACAGACAGACAGACAGACAGAAAGAGAGACAGACGGTTTAATGGTGGATTGGAGTGAAGGTGTATGAAGATGGTCCTGACTGTGTTTCTTCCTGCAGGATGGACCATGGTGGACTGCAGTGGTTGAAACCTGGTGTGAGGAAGTGTGAGTGTGTTTTCAGTTTGATTCCTCAGAGCTGCTCAGGTTACACTGATAAACACATTTCATAACAGACGCACCGACAGAAAGCTCACCTCTTCTCTTCATTGTCTTTATAGATATATTCAGGGTGGGCAGGGTTCCTCTAAAATGTATTCAGTTACTAAATACAGGTTAAGAAATGTAATCAGTATCTTAATATAAGTATCAGAATATCAAACACCAGCAGCAACGTTTAAAAAAGCAGAAATAAAATCTGAGCAGACAGAAAATACCGTGTTTTAGTTTCTATACACTCTCAGTAGATAACTTCCACACTGACTGTTTAACATATGGCTCTGGTGACTGAAATAAATAAATAAAAAAGAACAAATGAACCAAAGAAAGACAGTCACGTTTTCAGACTCAGGGAACAGTAGAGCAAGAAATAAAACCTGCTCCTTTCACAAGAAGTCTGCTCTTCCTCCACGTGTTAGGATCCCAGAGATGTGAGCTTCCAGGTTTCCCCCTGCTGCAGAAAGAAGAAGACTGGAAGTAACGTCTCTGAGCTCCAGGAAAAGTGCTTTATAAATATCAAGTATTTTATTGTTAGTCCAAATGAAAACCACAAAGCAGATTCAGGCAGTTCCTCTGTTCCAAGTACTGGACTACACATATCATCTACACATGTTCCTGTGAAAGCTTCTTCACATGAGAATCTCTGGATAGTGACAGTGGATCACCTGCTGATGAAGATCAGGCTGTTAGACATCGTTCTCAGTGAATATGAGACGTCAGTCTGAATGGTTTCTGTCAGTCAGTAAAGTAGTTCATAAATGAACAGATGATAACCTGCAGCTGTTCTCTCCATCAGATGCCTGTGAACTGGAGCTGGACTCAAACACAGCTCACAGAGGACTCAAACTGTCTGAAGACAACAGGACGGTGACACGTGTGAGAGGGGAGCAGCCATATCCTGATCATCCAGAGAGGTTTGAGTACTGGCTTCAGCTGATGTGTAGAGAAGCTCTGACTGGTCGCTGCTACTGGGAGGTCGAGTGGAGAGGAAGGGTTTATATATCAGTGACTTCCAGAGCAATCAGCAGGAGAGGAGAGAGTGGGGGCTGTGGGTTTGGAAGGAATGATCAGTCCTGGAGTCTGAACTGCTGGAGTCGTCCTGACTATGTCCATCACAATAACATAGTAACATACATCCCCTCCTCCTCCTCCTACTCTTCCTCCTCCTCCTCCCGCCCCTCCTCCTCCTCCTCCTACTCCTCCTCCTCCTCCTCCTCCTCCTCCTCCTCCTCCTCCTCCCCTCCTCCTCCTCTGGTAGAGTAGCAGTGTATCTGGATCATCCTGCTGGCTCTCTCTCCTTCTACAGAGTCTCCTCTGACAAACTGATCCACCTCCACACCTTCAGAACCACATTCACAGAACCTCTCTATGCTGGGTTTGGGTTCTTGCCTGATAGTGCCTCTTCTGGCTACTCAGTGTCTCTGGTTCCTCTGCAGGTCTGAGAGTCTCTCCTCAGCGTCTCTGGTTCCTCTGCAGGTCTGAGAGTCTCTGGTTCCTCTGCAGGTCTGAGAGTCTCTCCTCAGTGTCTCCGGTTCCTCTGCAGGTCTGAGAGTCTCTGGTTCCTCTGCAGGTCTGAGAGTCTCTCCTCAGTGTCTCTGGTTCCTCTGCAGGTCTGAGAGTCTCTCCTCAGTGTCTCCGGTTCCTCTGCAGGTCTGAGAGTCTCTCCTGACGACAGAAACAGACTGCAGATCAGCTGCTGGAATCAGTTCAGTGTGTTCACCGTCACACACACACCTGTCTCACACACACACCTGTCTCACACACACACCTGTCTCACACACACACCTGTCTCACACACACATCTGTCTCACACACACTCTTTGGGAAGCAGATCTGTCTCACACTTGTATCCCTCTGATTAACTTGGTCTCTACTCTTAAAGACACATGTAACATTTCTGTTTGGATTCACAAAATGGCGTCTTGTGTTTATAATGGTAAACATCTGAAACCAATTGCCTTCTTTTCTTCTTCTGGTAATATCTGGAATCATACTGTAATGTTCTAAATGTCAAACTGTGATCTTTCTCTTCCAATGTTTCTAAATATTGTTGAATAAAAGACTCTCTCTTGATTCTGAGGCTGAGCTTTAGTTCATTGATCACTTTGATCACTAATGGTGTGTTCACCGGGCAGCGACGTTTAACTCTTTAAACTACGGACCGGCTTTATTTACGTCTCTATGACCTTATGGGCCACCATACTTCATTATATTTCTTTGGTCCGTTTGGAACAAAGTAGGATTTTATATCAACAACTTAAAATAATAAATCCATGCATATATTGTGTCATGTGATCAGGAGTGGAGTGCTATTTTTAATACCAGTTTTGAAGTTTATGTAACTCCTGTCAAATAACCAGGGGCGGTTCTAGACCAATTTGAGTGGGGGGGCCACTGGGGGGTCAGTTATTTTCTGAGGGGGGCACAATAAATGCAGGACGAAAAAGAGAACTAGACAGTATGAAGTAATTGCGCATAAGAAAACAATGCAATACAGTTATTGGTATTTGTTTCAGTACACTTATTTATTTCAGACAGATCTTATACTGTTAGCTTCAGCATTACATTTATACATTTTTAAATCCACAGAAAAGGATTTAATGCAAAAGTTTACAAATCTTAAATGTTGACTTTAAATGAAATAAAATACATATATAGATAGAAAACATAGATTTCAGATGTATTATTTCCCATAAGCACAGACAAGTAGGCTATTTAACAAACACGAAGACTGAACACACCTGTTCTGCACGCGCACTAATCAGTTTCGTCTATTCCGTCACATTTCTAATAAACATAAAACAGTGATATCTGGAAAACACACAGATAGTTTCCTTCCCAAAACGTCCCATTACAGCAACATAATCCTGCGGTTTTTGTGATTTTTGGCAAACCGATCAACAAATAAGTCAAGATTCAAAGCCTTTGACCTCCTTGACTCAATACTAAGCACACCCAGATTGCTCAGTCTCTCATCAGTGATGGTGGATCTGAGAAAATGTTTGACCAGCTTCAATGTAGAAAAACTACGCTCACAGGAAGCAGAACTGACTGGGATTGCGACTGCTATTTTGCAGAGTCTGAAGAGCTCAAAAAACACTTATTTATCAGGTTCAATGAACTGAACAAGCTCCACTGTACTATCAGGTCTCTGCATCCCAGTCTTTATGTTCCTATCTAACATTCTGCTGAACTGATGTAGCTCATGCCCCAAGTCCTCAATATTTGCATCATACAACTGAGCAAATGAAAACAGAGTTGTCTCCTTCAGAAATGCATCACTTTTGGGGTTAAGAGCTTGGATGCTATTCATCATGTCACAGTTTGTGTTTGAAAACCGTCTATTAAGCTCATTGAGCATCTGATCAATGACAGGGTAGAAAAAGGCTGTACGAAACCCGTGTTTATCTTGTTCTGTCTCTCTCTGTCCAACAGTAGTCAGTACGAAGCTTTCAGCAAGTTTAGAGCTCAGTCGTTTTTGTCGTTTTGCTGCTGGCTGTATTGCAGTATCACATTGCTCAGAAATGTTCAACACTTCATCCCACAAGTTATCAAAAAATTACTCCTGCCTGAAGTCATTCAATGTCTGAACTAAAGATTCAACTAAATCCACAGCCTTTGAAAGGTCGAGGGATGAAGACTGTAACATGTCAGAGAGAAATGTTGTTTCTGCAAACACTTTACGGAGTGTTACAAGATGCACAATGAATTCTAGATCCAACTGTGCCAGCAGACCACGTGCCTCAATAGATCTCTCACCATTGTGTTCTTGGGCTATGTCTTGCAGTACTCGCTTGAGGGCCGGTAATCTATCCATTATGTTACGGAGAGATATACATCTGCATGCCCATCTAGTGTCACTCAATCGCTGGAGTTCTCTTGGGGCACCTTCGTACATCTCTCTTTGGATATCTAGCCATTTGGGGTGGACATACGACCCAGATGTGAAGACGTATAGCTTTTCTAGTAAGGAGAAGAACTGCTCTGCTTCTGGGACAGCTTTGACTGTATCTACTAAAACTGGATTTAGATAGTGAGCATTGCAATAAACATAAAAAGCATATTTAGCTTGCTCTCTGATTCTAGCCTGGACCCCTGAGTGCTTACCGCTCATGACAGCAGCACCATCATATGCTTGGCCTACAAGGTTGTTTTTGTATTCCAGACCGTTACTTTCCAATATGTGAATTATTTTTTCAGTAAGCCCTGCTGCATCTAGCCTCTCTGCTGACTCAAAATGGAAAAAACTCTCCTGGATAGCACCATTGAAGTAGTACCTGACTACAAGAGAAATCTGTTCTTTTTTTTTTAACATATTTTGTTTCATCTGCCATGATGCTAAAGACTTCACTGTTTGTATGTTGCCTTCTTCCAGTTTTTGAAACCTGAAGGTGAATCAAATACAGTGTCTGTGCTATTCGGAGGGCTAAAATGTCTGCAGGCGTAACAATGAGCAGAGTCTGACATTTTGGAGTACTCAAGCCAGGGGTGAATCTTGTACCAGTCAGCCTTGAAACTCCTTCTCCGCCCATCCAGGTCCTTGGAAACAATTTAGGGTGTGGTTGCATTGGTGGCTCCTCTTTGCACTTGCTGATATCTGTGGAGAAAGATAACGCAAATAAATATGTTTATTATTATTATTATAATTGAAACAGATCATTATAAATGCACATTCACCAGAGCAATGAACAACCACAAATTAGATATCTATATTAATAGATGTATGACACGAAGCTGTTTTCTCCCTGTTATATTTGGTTAAGCCAGACAACAGGCTTTGGGATAAGATAAGGGCTTGCCCGGACTCAAACAATCTCAGCTGCCAACAAGAAATATAATAATATTAATAAATAAATATAAATAAGCTATGAAGAAACAGAAAAATAATTGTAATAATGTGCATATATATTTATATATGTATCTATTTATTACACTTTTTTTTTGTTTTATAATAAAAAAGAGGGAAAAAATAAGTATATCTATATTATGAAGTAAATCATGTATAAATACAACTCCATATGAATACATAAAATGTAACTGACACTGTAATCCCCCTGCCCGCCACCCTTCATGTTATTGTCCTGTCCTATTTGTGATGTGTGTGAGCCATGTCCTCCGTATGTTTTTGTCTTTGAAAATGTTTAATAAAATATAAATGTTAAAAAAAATGAATTAGTATCACACTCATTTGATCTGTAACTAAGATTAAAGTAGGCACATTTGTTTTTCAAAATCACAAACCTGATGTTCCAGTACTTGTGGATCTATCCTCTATCTCACTCTCGATTTCATCCTCAGCCTCACTCTGTGACTCCCCATCTTTCTCTGCCTGCTCTGAACCTTCCATTTCCAGATCAGTCTCTCCTGAAAAGTCCTCCGGCTATCTCTGTGGCAATCTGCACTTCCTGCTGTGTGTTACTGTCTGCCTCATCATTTTTTTTTGGGGGGGGGGCGAAAAAGGACATAATGTCCTTTTTTCGCTTCATTTTGAAACTATAGAGCAAACACAAAGGAGGAGGACAACAATTCAGCAACGCAGAATATAAATGTATAACCGCTAGATATATTTCACAACTATATAGCTAGGGTGACCAGGTGTCCCGCTTAAAATAGAACGAAATGGCGGGATGGTGGTGTAAAATGGAGCCTGGGACAAAGAAAATGCAGCTACAACAAAGCCTGGGAAGGTACTTATTATTGGGTAAAACCGGTGGATGGAGATTCCACCCAGAGCGTGTTCTGGCTCGGTTCGCTGACGGCCGGCACCCGCCTTTATTATTTATTTATTTTAAACGGCATCATTTAAGGCGCTGACATGTCATGTGACAGATGATGAAAGCAAACTGTTTGCTGTCGCTGATTACTTTGCACACTACGTTAACTAACGTTAGTCAACAACAACACTTACTGACCTAAAGTCTTACCTTGTAACAATTACACGGATATAATAGTTTAACTCACCTTCAATTATCGTGGTGGTGGTCTCTGGAAACGTAGGTTTCAATCAGTCTTTCACTCTTTCTTGGATGCACAACAGCCTCTGATGATCCGAGATGAAAAGTGTTTATTTTTCGCACGCTTCAGCCGCACAGTGAAAGTAGGTGCACCGCTCTAATGGGTCCTGAGTGCACCGCTCTAATGGGTCAGACTAGAATGACGAATAACGTTAGTTCCGCCTATTCCGCAATTCAATAAATCGTGTAATAAATCATATATATATATATATATATTTTTCACTTTTCATTGTTAGGGGGGCCACAGGGGGGTCAGAGGTCAGTGTTAGGGGGGCACCCCCCCTAGAACCGCCCCTGCAAATAACACAGCAGCCACTAACGGCAAATCAAGAGAGAGAGAGAGAGAGAGAGAGAGAGAGAGAGAGAGAGAGAGAGAGAGAGAGACAGACA